GATATACTTTGCACTTGAGAAAGAATTCAATAACAATGTGTTGTCTTTCTACAGGGAAATGTTTAGACTTTTGTAAGCACTTGTTTTCACGTAAAAGTCCAAGGAATTCATGCTTGAATCTCAAGACAGGCGTGTCTAAATGCCTGGCTCTTTGAACATAGAAAGCTAATAGTATTGTTAGTGCTAATAAATAAACAAATTGGTTGGAAACTTGAGTAGATGCATTTTAGCAAACTAAACTGATTAGGAAAAAAATGGTAATGCAATTTCTAATCAAAAAGAGAAAATGAAAGTATAAATTCAGCCCTCCAGCAAAAACCTCCAAAGCAAATGCTCTTCCTGTCTATTTGAAAGTTGCATTTAGGGTCCGGATAAGGGTTAAGGGCCTCTGAAGCCCCAGTAGCCAGGGTCTCCCCGGTTTGCAGAGTCAGACTCCTGTGGATATAAATAAGTAGACTGTGCTCAGCTGGGAGACACGAGTGTGAGGAATGGCATCCTTTGTGTCCTGAAGGCTCTACTGTGGAGGAGACTGGGGTCCAGGAGGGACACAGAGGACACCCAGGAGGGAGAGGAGTGTAAGGGAGCATGATGAAATCAGATCCTGTGGGCTCTGGAGAAATAGAGGTCAGTGAAGGGGTTTGGTGGGAGAAATGACCCAATCCAGGGGTGCCTGGGCTGCTCAGTTGGTTGAGAATTGACTCTTGATTTCAGCTCAGGTCATGATCCTTTGGTTCCTGAGATCGAGTCCTGTGTCAGGCTCTGTGCTGACAGTGCAGATCCTGCTGAGAATTCTCTCTCTCCCTCTCTCTCTCTGCCCCTTCCCCCCACCCCTGTCCCTCCCACTCATGGACACACACTGTCTCTCAAAATAAATAAAATAACCATTTAAAGGAAAAAGAGGTGACCCAATCTGGCTATTCTTTAACAAAACTGCTGGTCTCCATTATGACAAGGGGGAAACTGACAGAGAAGTTAAGTAATCAGGTGACAGATGGTGGTAGTGGCATCAGTCTGGAAACAATGCGGGAGGCGACGAGTGGTTAGATCCCGTGTATACTGTAAAGTTCACAGTCAACAAAATGTGCCCGTGGATTAGCCATGAGAGGCAGAAAGAGGCACGACTGGAGGTGGGTCCTGGGTCAGAGGGTCCTGGCCGAGTAGCTGGAAGAAGGGGCCACCGTGGGTGTAGCGGGGTTGTGAGTTGAGACGCCCCAATGGGCAGAGGTTACACAGGAAATGCTCATCAGGCCCTAGGCACAGGTGCGTGGTGGGCATGGACATGAGACCTACACGGCAGGTGCGGGCATGTGGGCTGGGCTGGGGTCAGGGCATTGCTGACATGTCTATGGCCATGACATTCGCAGGGGACCCACCAGTGCCTGAGTGTGAGGCTGAGGAGGAGACAGCCAAGCCCCCCGGGGCTGGAAGAGACCAGCAGAGGACAGTGGGGAGAGGTCCAGGGTGAAATGGGAGGAAATCAAGAGGCAGGGTCATGTTGAAAGGCTGGTGAACCGTTTCCAATGCTGAAGATGGATTCGGGGGCAAGGACAGTGTAGGAGTGTAGGAGTCCCAGTGACTTGGACAAGGGAGCCTGTCCAGGAGCCTGCCCAGCCAAACCCGTGAGGAGCGAGGTCGTCACGAGGGACCGTGTGCTAAGTCAGTGCCCCCCCCCCCAATAGTGGTAAGTCCTGTCTAGCAGAAAACAATTTCATGCTTCTTCCCTAGATTTTATTTAAATGTCTTGATAATCTCCTCCCTTTTCCTGTTGTGCCCTTATTCATTCTATCTCGAGAGGGTTCTTATCGGAGAGGAAGGAATTTGTTAACGTGGTTGCTGCCCGCGCGCAGGAAGAGTTGTACTGCTTCCTGAGTACCTGGGGCAGGGAGCCAGGGGATTATCAATACTTGCTTTTAATAATGAAGACGGAGTGGTTTGTCTCCTTTAGTGTTTTGCCCTCCAAAGTAACTACATAATGCATTTTTTAAAAATACTTCTGATTTCTTGGCTTTTTGTTTCATTACTGAAAACGGGACTTATGCCCAGAAATTCTCCAAACAAAAGCTGGCTTTTAAAAATAATATTTAACTGGTAACTACAGACTGTGTGGATATAAATACGGTTATCTTACGGGGTTAAGTGACTTAAAATGCCACGTTGTTTCGCCTGACCTGCTTTTTTATACTTTTCCTCTCATTGATTAGTGATTATGGGGGAACAAAATAGGTCAGGTTTTTGAGAATTCCTATTTACATTAGATAGAAGAAGGAAGGATTGGATGACAGGTTTGATGCATGGTCTCAAGGCAGAGCAAAGTGTCATGGTATTAATTTGTGTTAAGTGCCATATTTTCACTCTAATTAATCTGGAGTATCTGTGTTATTAATATTCTTTCCTGCCACTAATTTCTTCCATCAGTCCTACATTAGGTTGTTCATTTGCATCCTTTGAAGTAGAGAAAGGTGAAGAATTTCCCTGCGAAGCCTCTCATAAATCAAGAGGCTAGAGTTTGGGCGCTTTCATCTCTGGTACTTCCATGTGATGTAGCCTTGAACTTAAAATTAACCTTTTGGCTCCTCCATCAACACAAATGCATATGTTCTTGCATTTAGAGAGGGGTGTACCAAATAGTGCAGGGGTTAAGAATGTGGACATTGGAGACAGATGCCTGCTTAGCACACCTGACGAAATACATGGCACTAATCCAAAAATATCGGCCATATTAACACCAAACTAATGTGAGGGTTAAAACAAGGCTTTTACATGTTATTTTTAAACATATGCAGAATTAGACTGTGCCCAGAGATCTAATTTGAGTTTCATTTCCTTTTCATTGGGCCGCTTTGTTTTCATCATGCAAATAATACATGTTCTTCCTGACTTCACAGCTGGTGGTAAAAATTAACAACCTATGAGCTGAATGTAAAACATAAGCTTCTTTCCTTGTTATAAAATTCGGCTTTTTGTTTTCTCCTCATCATCCGTAAATTGTGATGTCTGTGTGTGTTTATTGTGGGGGAGGGAATAAATTATAGAGTTTGTGACTTTTCATAGCACTGCTAGCATGTCCAAGATGTCGCGTAATGGCTTTTCGAATAACTAGATGCAAAATAAAGGCAGAGAGAAAAGGCCCTGCTCACAGTGACTTGCGTGTATGAACTCTTCCCGCTTTAATCAGATCACAGTTGCTGGGTCAGAACCCTGCACAGACCAATTAGTTTTGTCCAGTGTAAAAGCGATGTTTGCTAGTCAGAGTCTGTACCTCTCACCCTGATCATCTGTGTCCAAAAAGCCTGCTGTGTGTCACAGAGGGAACTCCTGAAAGAGCATCTGTGGCTCAGTGCAAATTAATGACAGCCGCTGTACACAGAGGGAGTGGTCCATACTGATGGTGTGGGGAGCGCATTCATGTGTGTGAGAAGAACGCAAAAGTCCAGACGGGGCTGCGCGTTATTTCAGGATTGTGGTCCCCAGTGCCGACTGGGGCTCTCTGAACGTTTTGTGCCATTGACCGCTGTGGCAATCCATTGCCCAGTGAAAACATAAATGCATAAAATAAATGATGTAGTATTATAAAGGAAATCTAATGTGTTGAAATAGAGTTCTCAAAATATTTAAAAAGAAGAAAAATACATATTTTTATTAAAGCTTTAAGTAACCTAATTTTCCAGTGGGATTATTAATTACCACACCTTCAAATTAGTGATTAGCATAAATGAGATTTCAAAATACTTCAGTATTAATAATAATACGAAGTGAAAAAATATTGCGATTTTTCAGGGTTCAGGGTTATCGGTACTGCCAGCCATCACTGTGATCTATTACTCACCCTCTTCGTTGATGGAAATGCTAAATTATGATCAGAAGAAAGTGTACAGTTATCTTCTAGAAGCCCAAGTTCCTGCCCCTGTATTGAAAGATCAGAGATACCTTTCTGAACCACTTGTAAATTTTTGTAGCTAAAATGGAACTATTTCATGCAGTAGAGCACTCGAGTATTTAATATCGAATATATAACCTGCAGTTGGAGTTGACTTCAGAACACAACTATTGCAAAAGTGGGGAAATGTATCAATAAAAATTTAAGACAGCATTTGAATCTATTTCAATAAATATATTCTATTGACTTATGTCAAGGTTTCTCCTGACATTTAGAGGAAATTTTCTAGAAGTCAGTTGTGGTTAAATCTTCCCTGAAATAAAACTTTTAGATTGCTATATAATAAGGTACTTAAAAAACACACAAAAAACAAAGTCAAGGATTGGTGTTTCCCCATTCATAACATGTCCATGTAGTCATAAAAAGAGAATTTATTGGAAATATAAATTGTCATCATTTTTTTAAACTGAAGAGGAGAAAAAAAACAAATATATTTCTAGTACATGAGTTTTAATTATACTTGAATAACATGTCTACTTAAATAATATTTCAATTCCCTAGCTACTAAAAATATATCTTTGAAATTATCTCGGTCCCTTACATGGTGCCTTTGAGGACTTTCCATGAGTAAAAATGTAGCCTTATTCTATTAACTTTATAGAGAAATATGAATTATTTGGGATTTGATCATTAGCATGGAATGAGAAGACACAGGAGAATAAAGTAAATATAATACTTTAGGTTATGAATCTTTTTATCTTTTACTTAAATATTGCATTAGCAATTTACCAAATGCCTTTGCCTCTCAATTTTCTATCTGTTCTTAAGCACAATTACCTCTCCTAACAACATATAGTGCAGATGCAATAACTCATTATTAGTGTGTTTTTTTGGAATTATGTCCTGAGTTTGAGAACAGGAGACAAAAAAGTTGATGAAGCATCTCTGGACCTTCTTGTCCTCATTTACGTTTTCTTTGGGCCCTGGTCCCACTGACTTGAAAGCGTTTCTTCTTTCCGTAATGACTCCACATCAGAAGAGAACCCTCCTATATGGTACAAAAAGTGACACGCAGAATCCAATAACATAGAATTTTTTAACTTCTCAAAAAATTATTTTCTAGGCTGAACAAGACAATGGTCACCCTCTGCCCGCCTTTGCCAGTCTACATATCGAAATACTGGATGAAAACAACCAGAGTCCATACTTCACGATGCCCAGCTATCAAGGCTACATCCTGGAGTCAGCCCCGGTGGGAGCCACCATCTCCGACAGTCTGAATTTGACCACCCCTCTCAGAATCGTGGCTCTGGACAAGGACATAGAGGACGTAAGTTCAATCTGTGTTTTACTCTTGTTTTCGTAACACATCTCTGGTCTTTACACTAACAGGAAATTTTACAAGGACGTAGTTACATGAGCTCTAGAATAGAGAACCAAGTCCGTATAAATAAGAGTCTCAGAAACGAGGATCTCAGTGCTGTAATTTCATTTCACATGAAAGATACTGGGAGAAAGAGTATGTCTGAATTCAGTGACCGTTTGTTTTTTGTTGTTGTTTATTTTTCAGTTTACAGATACTGGGTATAAGGACTAGAATAAACGTTTCATCTATAGCTTACTAAACCACAGGGCAATCTTTTTTTGTTTAATTAATATGGGTTGTGAACCGTTTCTATAATTGCTGATAGGGGAACATAATGGCATTACACAATAAATATTTAAAAAACAAAAACATGAAGGCAGCCCTGCAGAATGGTTTAGGGAACTTTTCTGATGCTAAGTTATTAGGAAAAAACTGCATTTGGAAGCAGCTGACCCGCTCACACTGCCGCTGCCGCCTGTGCTCATGTTAAGACTCTGTGCACCACACACACCATTGCCCTGTGCTGGTGGTGCCACTGGCCCCAGAAGTGGGTGGCCCTCCAGGCAGAGTATTTGACCTCTTCACTCCCTCTTGTGCTGTGGAGTGGGTAGAAAATCTATACCAGGCCAGTCAGAGCCCTTCCAGGAAAGGAAAATCAAGGAACCAGAGCTGGGAGGCTTCGGTATCATGTATTAAAGAAGTGGAAAGGGATCTGAAGCCACTGTAGCCACGTTTGCTGATATCACCTGTCACCACATGAAGGAAAATAGACCTGACAAATTCACACAGATGGGGACACTCTTGGGTCCTGTTTTCTTGGGTTAGAAAATCTCCGGGCATATACTGATCTCTGAAGATTTTCCTTTTGTTCTATGGTTCTGTGACCTGCCACACTATTTCCCCGTGCATCCTTTTCTTTTTCTTTTTTTTTTTTTCTTTTTTTTTCTGTTGTTGTTGTTGTTCTTTGTAAGACATACTTTCAGTTTGAAATCTGTCGCTCCAGGGGCGCCTGGGTGGCTCAGTCGGTTAAGCGTCCGACTTTGGCTCAGGTCATGATCTCTCAGTTTGTGCGTTTGAGCCCCACGTCGGGCTCTGTGATGACAGTCAGCTCAGAGTCTGGAGCCTGCTTCGGATTCTGTGTCTCCCTGTCTCTCTGACACTCTCCTGCTCACACTGCCTCTCTCTGTCTCTCAGAAATTTAAAAAAAGAAAAAAACAAAAAAACAAGAAATCTGTCACTCCCAAGGTGGAAAGTCCTGACTCAGCTGATTCTTCCTCTTCATCAGAGCTTTCATAAACGGTCTGCAGCTACGCTGTCCCCCACGGCCGCCACCAGCCCTGAGCGGCTGTGGAGCTCTGGAAACAGGACTACGCTGACAAATTAATTTTTATGTTTTGTTTAATTAACTTAAGTTTAAGTGCTCACCTGCCACTACTTGGACAGCACAGCTGTAGACTGTCCTCCCAAATCTCCTTACAAGGAAGCTTTGTCATAGTCTAGTAAACGAAGAGGCAACTTTCAGGTTTTGTTTTCCTCTTTCTGGAAAATGTTTCTAACACTCCGCAGAGGCTGTGATGACTCCTATGCACCCGGCTTCTTTCCAGATGCCTTGCTGCCTCCTGGTGCTTTCTCACCTTCTCTCTTCTCAGTCTTCCTGTGCTGCTTAGTCTCTTGTCTCTGGTCTAATCATGTTTTCACAGTAACTGTCAGTGAGTTCTTAGCATCAGCCAGACAGTCCGGTAAATGCTTCATCTTGTATTAATTCCCTTAAATCTCACAGCAAACATAAAAGATGCAATTTCCCATATTGCAGAAGGGGAAATTGAAGCTATTTTAAATGTTTTTTTTTTTTTTTTTTTTTTTTTTTTTTTAGGAGAGAGAGAGAGAGAGAGACAGCGTGAGCAGGGGAGGGTCAGAGAGAGAGGGAGACACAGAATCTGAAGCAGGCTCCAGGCTCTGAGCTGGCAGTCAGCACAGAGCCGGACGTGGGGCTCGAACCCACGAACCGCGAGATCATGACCTAAGCGAAAGCCGGACGCTTAACCGACTAAGCCACCCAGGCGCCCCGGGAAATTGAAGCTATTTTAAATGCATTTCTGTGATCACAGAGTTCGTAAATGGTGGCATTGGTCCTTGAGCCACGGTCTGTGGGAAGCAAAGTCCTTGATTTTAAGCACCATGAAACTAAAAAATCTGTGTCTACTTGATCCAGTATGACTATAGTCTGACCGTCATGACAGCTGATAAATGCTATAGGCTTTCTTCCAGAAAAGTGTGTATACGAACACCATTTCCTGTCCTGACATAGGGTGTTAGGGATCCCTTGAATGTCTTCATCTAGTGAATGCTCACCAGAAAATTCAAAGCCACCTTAGTAAGTTTCATATAGGCTAAGTTACTATATTTTGTAGGCCTGGTGTTGTTCCATAGATTTTGGTGTGGGTTTTATTTCATTTTTAAATTGGAATGCGTAATCATAGGTTAAGCAGCAACTAGTCAATTTGGAGAATTATAATAGTGTAAGTCATACCTTCATTAACACATCGGTTAGCAAAAGCTAAATCCTAAAAAAAAGACAGCTTATAGTTTTTCCATAATTGCAAAATGTATGTGTTTGTATTTAATAGATGTTCTTATATTATTGAATAGTTGAATACTCACCCCTACACTTGCTTGGGTACATTTTTACTTTTCTGGATCGGCATTCACTTTAAAATGATAAATGTTAAGACTGCATTCTAAAAACCTTTGTAAAGGATGGTGGTACTTACAGGGTATCGCTGAGGTGGAGTTGGGGGAACTCCTACGTATAAAATATCTGGGAAAGACTACTTGGCATTCTGCTCTTAGAGTTGACAATCCCTCTTAGCTTATTAAATGATCTGAACATTTCGAGGAGTTGGGGTAGAAGGCTATGGTGCTTAGAGTTTGTTCCTTGGAGTTAGCCTCCAACTCCCCGCTGGTTTGGCCTTTGGTCCTACTGTGTGATAGTTCTCTGACACTGTGTGCCTCATTTTCACAAGTTGCCCCTTTTTATTCAATCACCTGTGATCCAAAAAGGTATATGGGAGCACTCATCACTGTCTTGGCCTCTCCTTCCCTTGGGGATGGTGGGAAGGACAGGGAGAAGACAGTTCCCTTAAATGCTACCATACACTCTGAGAGTGGCACCGTTAATATGTCCTGTAAAGATGTCAAGTAATTAAACAATGTGTATCTTGCCATGAGCTTATTATTTAGGCCTATCCTGTTTCCAAAATTAACTACAATGAGTGCCATTAGATGGCTAGAAAGTGAACAAGTATCTCTAATCTCCTAGGGGTAAAGGTTTCTAAAATGTTAAATATATCTTCTGTGTATCTGCAATGTAAACAAGCCCACAGAAGGTTAAGCATAGTTTAATCCAGTTTCCTATACTGTGTGAAATGTTCTCTTAAAACCCACTTCTCAGGTACTGATATCACACCTCATTGTTCCCCTCAGTCTTGAAACCCAAGAGTCTTTGGTTTTTGTTTCCTTACTGCACCTGAAAGTCTTCACATTCTTCCTGTTTTTTTTTTTTTTTCCTCTGGATATTTGATGACTGTCTTTTCATCTCCGTCTTTACAACCTCCATTCTGTTTGTCTCACATTGGTCTCTCATCAGAATTTCCTCCTGATGCCCTTGGCTTCCTATTTTTTCTGACTCAGGTGTCTCTCACCCAGCCACTGAGAGCCATCTAATCGGTCTCCATCACACTTCTGCCTCACATGCTTTTGAGACGAGCTTTCCTGCAGAAGAGAATGGCTGTCTGTCACCGGATGCCTGAGCATTCACACAGACTCATTTCCAGAAACTTCCGCCTTACCTGCTACATTTAGCAACTACTTGTAGTTTCCTGCATAACTTTATCTTATTACCTTTGTGACATTTCCCACATTTTGAAATCTTTCATCTTTTATCCCCCAAGCTGGCTTGGACAAATTCCACTTAGTGTTGAGAGTTCTGCGTGGGTCTCTCTTACTCGTACGTCTTGTCCAGACTCTGCTTCCTCTTGGTTGAGTTGTGTGTCTCTTTAACGCTATACATGTGACATTGTAGGCGCCTTGCACCCTCTTTGAATTTAAACTGTGAATAGGGCTTTGATCTTGGTCGCTTTTGTATCCTGAAGATGTAACACAGTTCACAGAATTTAGTAGTTTCTACTAATAGTTGAATGAACTCAAACATTCAGGCACAAGTAAAGGAATGAGGATATCTAACATATGCTTCAAAATTCTAGTGATCTTGATTTAACTGTTTCATGATACAGCCCATGTCATGATTGGACAACTACTTCCTAGAAAACTCCTCATCCTATTGAGTTGAAACGAGCCTTCTCATAACTCGCCTGGTAGTCCATATAACTTCCATTTTCCAGCCCTCAGAATAAATCCTTGGAATAGTCAGTAACATGTTTGAAGATGGATTGATGTCCTTCAGAATCACCTGGGTTTTTTTTGCCAGGCCAAGTACTCTTTATTTTAAAAGTAAAATATGTTCACTTACTAGATGATTTAAAGATTTGTATTAACAAAAAGAAACTTCAAGGCCCTTTCAGTTCACAGGCAAGAATTTTCCTGCCTGCTAATTTCTCAATGTTTTTGAGTGCCAGAATAATGAAATTAATTAAATCACCATACAGGTGAAGGATTTAAGAATAAAGACAGAAACATGTCACCACATTCAGGTGTTACCAAAAGAAACAGAGATGAACCATCAGATCCGAAAAGAGAAGTTATCACCAAGGAGTCAATTTCCTGAGTAGCTTTAAGAATAAGAGAACAAACTTGGATTACCTGTCTAAAAATCAACCTCTTCCTTCTGTTTAGGAGAAAGTAAGAGAGAGTTTTAGAAAATGGTAGCATGGATAGGTGAGTGGCATTATTAGCAGTGTAGATTTGGGGTCAGAAGGAATATTAAAGGTCACAGTGAAACCAAAAAAAAAAGATTAAACAAAAATAATTGTGTTAGTGTTCCTTTTCTATTGATTTATAAATATCCACATAAAGATACATATACCGTATAGAGAGGTAATAGGAATCACATTCCTATGTTTTGTTTTGTTTTGTTTTGTTTTTTAAGTACTCATATGTTCAAAATAGCCCAGCAGATAGGTAGAACGAGACATGCCCAAGGTATTTGAGATGATGTCTGAAACCACCATGTTTTCAGTAGGCAGAGCTACTAAAAGTTGATTATTGGATTCCGGTTATAAAAAAATAAGTAATGAGGAATAATCATCAACTGAGGCTACCCATTTGGCTTGTAGGAAGGCAGTGAGTCACTTATAATTCCATGTGGGTTCACAGTCCTGCATAAAGAGGTACTGTTTCAGAATCAAGGTGTCCTTGAAACTTAACACAATATGCTCTTAAAGGTCCACTGCCCTTATATGCTTTATACATATTGTTATGCTGTTGTATGTATGTTATGTGAGGATATTAAGAAAAAAATACACCTTGAAAAAAGTTATTAGTTTAAATGTGCTAGAAGATATTGTTGTCATTTATTTGTTTTTTCCTAGTGTATGCTTGTAAACTGTATGCCTGTCTGTGGTCAATTACGCTTACAGTTTTCTATTTAATGTTTACTTTGCACATAGGTTCCGCCAGGTGGAGTTCCTGTAGGTACTAGGTGTTCGTTTTGTGTTTGCTCTTTTGTTATTTGCTGTGGTTCATTTCCTAATTCTCTCTTTTCTCCTAAAACAAGTAGATACTTGAGTACCCCTTATAAACACATCTACAATGATGTTAGATATGTGTGTGTAGATGTGTTTTAAATTCCTGTTCATCATATTCTTGGTTAGAATAGAATGAACTGTGTGAAATGCAAATTTCGTATGAACTTTAGCAAAGAGTATTCAATTTTTAAATGTTTTTCAGCCCCTGACAAACATTCATATTTCATCATCATATTCTTTCTGAATCTAAGCTTGGGACTGAACCCTTTTGAACAAGATTATCTGAAGACAACTACTGTTGACCAATTCAAATTGGCAGATGAGGTTAATTTCTGTCATCTCCCCTCTTATGCTTTATAACTTAAGTATGCATATGTATATAGGTGCACATATACATACATTTTGCGTTATATGTGTATATATAAGGATGCATATAAACGTGTGTTTATTGTGTGTGATACAATATTCTGATTCTCATTGGAAACCCCAAATTGGCTTCAAATCCAAGTGACTGTTTTATTTGAATATATTTCTTCTATATGATAGGATTTTTAATTTTATATTCACATGTTTGTTTTCCTTTGCATTTGGATATGTGCTTACTTTGTCTTCATTTTTTTCTGTGCTATGAGTGAATATCAGAGTTTATTTTACCTTCCCAGAAAATAATACACAAACCAATGAAATGATACTCTTGTTGTATATACTGACTATGTACTTTAGATAATATAATACTACCTTATGTCAGAGGGGGAAAAGAGCACTTATTAACCAGACTTCTGTGTACATATTGATTTTAAAAATCTAATATGTATTTTAAACATTTTTTTAGACACAAGGACTACATAAAATCTACTGTCCCTGTAAGAGTAGGAAGTCATAGCATTTTCTGTCCATTTTAAACTCCTAATATACCACACCCGAAACAAGTATTATCCTTAAAAATAAATCCCAAGTATTGAGCTTTGAGTAATAATTGGCTGAATAATTCCAAATCTGCATTCTTTGATTCTTGTCCTCAAAGAAATACCTAGATATTCACCAATAGAATCTATGTATCCCATACATATATTTTAAAAGGTTACTATGTTAAGTATCCATGAACTTCAAAGGTTATAATTTAATCAGAGATTAACTGAGCAGGACAGATTGGCATGAGCTATAAAATGCCATCGACAATGGTAGCTTTATATGCTATGTTATCTTTCTTCCCAAAAACAGTCTGCAGGTCTGGAAGGTGTATTTTAGTCCCTAGCTAGTTATTACAGCAGGACTTGAAATGAAGACAAGTGAAATATCAACAAAAAGGTCTTTAATGTTTCTCGTTATGAAGCATGAGAGTCTCTTTATGAAGTCCTGGTAGTTGTGTCGTCTTCAAACGGGAAGCATCTGACAGGGAAGTTCTTGTGTCTTTCATAAGCTTGAATAATGATGGTGTGGTCTGTGGCACAACTGCGTGGTGCAGTATCACGTGTGGATACAGTGGTGCATGGCCCAGCACTTAGCGCCGTCCTGAACTGTCACTGCCCGTGACATAACAAAGGAATTGTTCACAACACGTAGGGAGCCTGTGAAGGAATATACCCAACAAATTTACCAACACAAGCTCCCAGGGAAAGGAAGAAAAGAAACTGGGAGAATATTAGTTGTGCAGAAAGTAGAGAAGGACTGAGGGACTTGAACAAAGGGAAAGAAGTAAATGTTTGATATATTAGGTCACAGGGCAAAGCTCGCACGGCTGGGATTACTGGCCATGTAGAGGTACAAGTACAGGATGCTGCGTTCCTCAGGAAAAAGTACATGAATTTAACAGCCTAGTGATTTTACCCTAGTTAGTAATTGCTGTCAATTGAAACTGCATTCTAACTATTTTGATCACTTAAAAATAACCATTGATTTTATTGAAATTGACCTTAAAGGATGCAGTAAGAAGAAACCTCAAAATGTGATTCAAAATATGTTGATTTCGTATGCACTTTATCATCAGTTTTTTAAATAAATAATTTAACTTGTTACTAATGAATATATTTGATTAATGAACCCTGCCCCCAAACTGCTAACCATGCTGAGCGTGTGGGGTCATGATGCTGACACAGAAACTGAGGTTCCTGTTGAAAGTATGCATGTACTTTTCATGGCTCTTAACAACATTGGTGATTTTATACTATAAAGACCAATGGAAATTATTGTCTCTGGTATTAGTTTTTTTATTGTTCCAGGATCAATAAATGTAGCATACTGGACTTCTATCAAAACCTTCCATAGAAGACCTTCTATGGACCTAGCAGCTACACTAATGTAGCTAAGTGATATCTCAGGAGACATCACAAATACAGAACTATGTTAGGTTCGAATGAAACTATTCATTTCAAAGTTATTTGGAATATACACATACTGAAGCTTTAAGAAGAGGTATAGATTCAGCATCTGTGGGCTGTATCATGCCCACCTTTTAATATAGTGGCACACATACCAACTTTCTCAATTTTAAATAAAAATGTTTAAAATGTGAGTGCTAATGTTTTAAATCAAATCAGCATGTCTTTAACAAGTCTTAACTGTATAGTCTGTCCTCAGCCCCTGATTTCAGACATAGAAAAGGAATCTATGATATGAAATTACATTTCACACTACACTATGCGTATTATGCATTGGGTTTTTATTTGAGTATAGTTGACACACAAAATTATATTAGTTTCAGGTGCTTAACATAGTGATTTGATGCCTCTCTGCATTGTCATGCCCACCACAAAGTACCTGCCATCTGTCACCACAAGATGACGCTGTTACAGTTACACTGACTGTATTCCCTGTGCTGTGGCTTTCATCCCCATGACTTATTATTCAATAACTGGATGGCTGTATCTCCCAATCTGCCATTCTCCTCACTGTGTAATTTTTAATGTTGCCCAAATCTATTAAAAAAATACCTCACCTCCCTGTGTATCTCTATTGCTGTTGTTTTCATAGCCTCATCAGAAGCCCTCTGTCCCCAGTAACCCTCTTTCCTTTGCCCACCTGCCCTCTGACTTCAAGATGCCAACACCAACCCACACCTCCCCACCTCATGTCCTTGTTCTTTCTCAAAAATGCAGAGATGAACGTCTTATCATCCAGGGGCAGCAACAGACCGTGAAGGGTTTCCAATGCTTAGTGAATTTTCTCTGTTTTGAACTTTCACAATCATTTTGTTATGTATCAGACACATGCAGCCATTTTATATACTTTCAATCTAATTATCAGAAATGTATGTTTAAATTTAAAAAAACATTATGTTTCCCCTCGGGGAATCTTTACAGCATTAAAATAAGAGAGATCGAGCATGATATTTATAGGTAATGAATTATATATAATCAGTTTTATTTCTTTTTTACATTAAACATGAGAACAGAAGAGTAATATGAGTATGGGCACTTTGTTACCACAAATGAAGTGGTTGTACAATCCTACAGCTAAAATGGGGGCTCCTGTTTTCTTCTCTTGCATTTCCTTCTTATTCCTTGAGCCCAGGGAAGTTCTGGAGAATATTGATATTATAAGCCAATAAGAATATATTCAACTAAATTGTTATCTTTCTTTTCTTTTTTCCTTTTCTTTTTACATTAATTATCCTTGTACTTATTCCACTGTCTTGTTTCCCACAAAATGAGTCATTGTCTTTGCATAATTCAGCTCAGTGATGAGTAAATGTCTAATAAAACCTATCCTTTCTTTGGAAATTCTTATTATATTCACGTATCGTTTTGTAACAGATTTGTAAAATTAATTTCCAGATAATGAACTAACAGCTGCATTATTTACTCAACTTCCCCCTCCCCCCCAAAGACGAAAGACCCAGAGCTTCACCTTTTCCTGAACGATTACACCTCAGTCTTCACCGTCACGCAGACTGGTATCACTCGCTACCTCACCCTACTGCAACCAGTGGACCGGGAAGAGCAGCAAACTTATACTTTTTCGGTAAAAAGACTTCATATACATATTTATGTGTGTCTGTGTGTGTGTAACAGAAAGAGATATCTGTTTGCAACTGAAGAGGTCCATGAATGAAGAGGAGAAAAACGCAATATTTTCAAGTAACTGAGAATTGAAACTATCAATAATAAAATTCTTCACGTTTTTCTCCTTTTTCTGTTTATAAGTTTGTGCAGCTGTGTTATCATTCTTTACAAAAAAAGGAAAATAATTTTCAAGATGAAAACAGGAAAATGAGAGTTTCATTCTTAACCATGCACTCATAATTTACTTAAATTGAGATATTATATACCAGAATCCACAAGCAAAGAATTATTTCCTAACCCTTATTTTATTTTATGGATTTTGTTATTACGTTTTATATTTTGCCATAGGGTTAGGCCAGTGGGTCTTCCCTGGGATGATCCCTGCACCCCCTACCCCTATCCCACCCTCCCCCCTGGAAGCGTTTGGCAATCTCTGCAAGGCAGTTTGGGCCATCACTATTGGGTGCTACTGGCATCAGGTAGGTAGACTCCAAGGATGACACTATGGGCATCCTCCCTTATATAACACACAGGGCAGCCACCCTGCTCTCTGACAGTGAGTTATCTGATGCAGGGAGCCTACTTCAAGTTAATTAAGAAGAAAAAGTGCTGAGGGGAGATTATTCTGTATTCTATATTATTCTATTTTCTGTATGTTCTATATTCTATATTCTATTACACAAACACATACATGATTTGTGGGGTTGAAAGGTGAATACAGATAAAAAGAAAGTTCTAGTATCCAAGTTCCTGAGCTAGATTTTATTCATATATAAGAGGAAAATGAGCTGTTGGAAAAGTACAGACTGTAGGGTTTACATGGGGCTCCTTTCTGGAGATGCTTCCTTACATAGCAAAGCCACAGCTTATAGAAACCCTAAGTGACAGTGCAAACGTAGGTACAGGGGTGGATTCCAGAAGTCATTCGAACAAAAATGGCAGTTGGCAACACTGGCTTTGTTTGTCAGAACTTCCTAACATGTTATGGTGTAATTAATATATCACTATTATATAATGTCATTAAGTCTTTTAAAAATTGCCGTTTTCTAAACTATCAGAAAAAGACATCCCATCCCTAGGGCACCTATTTTCTTGAGTTATCCATACAAGCATGTTGGCTGTAAGAGCATCTATGGAATTATATAACCACTATGTAAAATGGAAGAATATTTTCTTATTAATTTTTAAAAATTAAATCGTAGTTAATCCTAAGAATCAGCAATGTTACTGACCCACTCCATGCCTCTCTGACACTTTACATATCTGCTTATTTAAATGTGTTTTGAATTTGAATACATCAAAGATAAAACAGAATCCTTTGTAATTGGTTCTTAGCACATTCAAGCACTTTGCTTGTGTGAATTATTATAGGCATATTATTTCTTTTTATCAACAGAACATTTTGGTACCCTTTTAAAACTGAAATTATATATGAGAAATGCCTTAAATCATAACAGTGAACTTGGTACTGCTTATGTTTGTGTGATTTATCTGTTACATGTATTTTTCTCCCCAAAGATAACGGCATTTGATGGTGTGCAAGAAAGTGAGCCAGTTATTGTCAATATTCGGGTGATGGATGCAAATGATAATACTCCAACCTTCCCTGAAATATCCTATGATGTCTATGTTTATACAGACATGAGCCCCGGGGACAGTGTCATACAGGTAACTACCCATATAGCATGGGGTTCTATGCAAAGCAAGTGTTTCCATGGCCATTGTATAATGCTTCGCTTCGGAAATTGCTTAAGAAATGCAAATAAACTTCAGACCCATTATATGACATGACTTAGCTTCAGAAGCTTAAGATTTATGTTGACCTTTCACATAAAAATGTATTTATATTGACTTTAAAGTAGAATTAACTAGTTATTAGATTTAAATATAGCAATGTGATCATTTTATAATTGATTTTTAAGAGTTTAGTACACTGACTCTACCTAATTGATTCATATAACAATATATGTAATATGCTGATGTTTTCAAGTCTTAGACGTATAGTTTAAAATTTCAAATTGTTTACAACTTTTGTAAATATGGGTTAAATTTCTCTTGGTGATAAAGACAGATGACTACATTAATAAATCAGTGGACGACACTGTCAGACAGTGGTTACCTGGTGTAAAATGGAATCATCAACAGCAGAGAACATTTGGCTTTCATACTCAATGGTATCTTTGAAAAAAACAAATCAGGCAAAATGTTTCTCCTTGATGTGCCTTATTTTTATTATTAACCATGTACTTACTGCCTTTAAATTAATTATGTTGTCTCAAATTATGTTTTTTTTTTTTTAATTCTCTGCATAAGTCACAAAGAAGTAATCATATTCTTCCTCGAGGGTTTTTAGAAATCTGGAGAATAGTTGAGTCTAGTACTTTCCAAATTGCTAGTACTTTTCAGAATTATCTAGGGAGCTGATTAGAAATACAGACAACCAAGACTTCACTTCACCTTTCCCGGATCTGAGGCTCTATGAGAAATACTTAGGTTATTGATATTAAAATAATAAACCCGAAGGGTTTCACTTGTACAGACACACAAAGACCACTGATGTAGATTGTCAATATCTGAGAGTCAGACTCAGTAATTATAAGTTACTTTCAGGCCAGGAAAGCCATGATTCTATATACTTTTTAGAGCATTTCAATGGCTCCAAATTGTTATTAAATGGCATATGATACAATTATAATGATATGTAATCACGTACTAGTATGATACATACTAATATGCACTAGTATAGTATATAATTAGTGCACATAAATCAATTTACATGTCTGCATGTTTTAGCATTATATAAATATTTCGGAGTATTAAAGATCAGCCTAAAGACCCCGACAACAAACTTAAACCTTCACATATGGCTCCCTTTCCCCAGCTCCGCGTTTGGTCCTCTTTTCCTGTGCACGTGCTTTGCCCCTGACCTACCACCTATACTTAACCAAATGCACATGCCTTGTTCCTTCTCATTTCCTCCAATTAGCTGCTTCCCTTCCACGTACAGTTTGATGGGTCTTCTTATCTGTCAGATAATTTCCCTTCTGCGGACCCATGCCTTTGTGGTGTTCAGAGGGTAGTTTGGAGTCATCCTTCCTGGATGGTCCTGCTCTCGCATCCCACCTGGGACATAGTGCTGTGCAGTGACACTACTGTGACCCAGCAGCATGTCCTTATCGGTGTGGGATGTTAAGGAGGAAACAGCTCATGTGCGCCTCGGAGCTTCTGTACATGGTTTTCTGTCAACCAGGAGTGCTCTTCTTACCCCAGATTTTGCAAGGCTGGCTCTCTTTTTCCATACAGGACCCTGCTCAAAATGTTACCTACTCAGAGAAAACTTCCCTCGAAGCTTAGTGCTGGCCCCCTCCCAGCTCACACACTCTCTGTGCCTCCCCCTCTCAAATGATCCTCTTTTCTTCTCTCTCACCCTCCGCCCACACTGAAGACCCCTCGAGGCCAGTGTCCTGTTTAATCACCAGGCTGCCCGTACACTTAAGACATATCATCCATGCGGTACCTCGCCATCCAAAGAATGAACTGTTCCCAAATTCACATGGCACTGTTATTACCATAGGCTAGAAATGATTCCATGCTCTCTCTCTCTCGTATTCATCGGATTAAGATACACTTTCTCGGGTGATAAAAGGGATGACATTACAGCCTGGGCAGTGGAAATTCACCTGTAAGCCCTTCTGTGCATGGATACCTTCTGCCGTATTTGGCAGCAGCTAAAAGGCCACAGTACGTTTTATTCCTGTTTTGCTTATGGCGTGTCATATTGATGAAATCCACCCTTGCAACCATTTGTCTTGAGGGCAGAACTCGAATTAGTTTATTTCTGTATCCACAGCATTCACCTCCATAGTGCCTAGCATATCAAAAGTGCTCACTAGAGTCGCCACTTAATATGTTTATTCAATGATGACAGAAGGGAGACATGTGGACAAGCAGAATGAATGGGAAGGTGTAAACGCATTGCCTTTTATCTCTAGATGACGGGTGGACCTTGAGAGCTACATTTGTCTTTCCCAAGGCACTTACATAGGCAGCAGCATTGCAGTGTATGCACATAAAGGGATGACAATCATTGTCATGTTCTTATTTAATTAGACCTGATTCTCATCTCTATAATAACATAATTGGAAGTAAAAGTAAGTTTATACATTAAAAAAAAAAAAAAAAAAAGCAGCCAGCGGGGAACTGGAAAGTGTAACTAAGAAAATGATAGCAATTACGTGGTGGAACTGTATCTCAAAAAATGTCTGCCTTGGGGGAATCAAACGCTTCTTTCTGGCATTTGCCGGCTGCAACAGTTAATTTCCCTTATGTATCTATTTATAAAACAGATCTTTCCTTGCCTTTAAAGATTCATCTTTTATATATCTTCCTGCACTATGCGGGTTATGAAGATAGAGTGTTGTGTGGGTCTGTATGGCTCTATGTTTTAAAATTACTTAAGCACCAAGAGATAAAAGCTTATAATTATTATTTTAAATGTTATTCCTGGCATGTGGTAAAAGAGTGCCATAGCTATAAAACATCCTCCGAGGATCTGGAAATAAAAGGAAATAGATTTCCTATTAAGAGGAGAATGTGTAAACAAAGCCAAATGATTTAGAACTGTGACCCACCCCTGCCTTGTGAGAATCATAAAATAAGTTTTGTGCTGCACGGGCCCAGCCTCCCCAAACCTCGCCTTTCCATACCGACAATATCACCTCATTTGCTTTTGGTTAGTATTCTGAAATCAGAAAGAGTGAGAACATTAGAAGCAAAGATGACAGTGGGCATAGCCCAGCGGAGAGCTCCTTGGATAACACATTTTAAGCATATTTTAACCAGATGATTGTGAATCTGTCATTTTCAATGTGGCCCCGACACTGCCTTGGCCCGAGGGAAGTTCATTCCCAATTATTTCAGTCCAGTACCTTCTTGTTAGGAGGAACCATCCTTGCCTGTGAAAAGCAGATAGGTTAGGCATAAAGGTGTCAGTAATCAGGTCCTTATTAGAGATTCTGTTATAAATTGGTCCTCTGACTTTACATCTCTGATGCCTGAGTATTGTAAAAGGGATAGCGTGATTCTGATGTGTATGGCTCCTGAGTCACACTAGGGGGCAGTGGGGAGCACTGTCACAAAACAGCACCTGCGCCTTCCATACCTGGAAATGAGATGTAATCAGATTATTAGCATATCTCATGTTTACAGGGACTTTAGTAGTGTGAATGAGAATGATTTTGGCATGAAAGAACTTTTTGTATGCCATCGATGAAACTACAGGTTTGACCGATGAATGTCATGCTGTATTGTCTTAAGTCCCATTACACACTTTGCTGATTTTCTTGAAAAACCAGCTCTATATTAAGGAAACAGATTTTGGTATGTAATTTTAATATTGTGAAGATGTAGATTTTCATATTAGTAGTTAAGTCCAGTCCATATTCCATGGATGCTGTTCCTAAAATTGTACGACTTTCATAAATAGGTGTTCTTGATCCTAAGTGAATACAGAGATGTTCCTGAGCAGCCTTTAAAAATATCAGTGCCTAGGGGTGCCTGGGTGGCTCATTCGGTTAAGCATCTGGGGTCAGCTCAGGTTATGATTTCACAGTTGGTGGGGTCATGTGTTTGAGCCCCCATTGGGCTCTCTGCTGACAGCTCAGAGCCTGGAGCCTGCTTTGGTTTCTTTGACTCTCTCTCTCTCCGTTCCTCTGCTTGCACTCGCGCTCTCTCTCTCTCTCTCAAGAAATCAGTAAACATTAAAAATATTAAAAAAATATATTGATGCCTAGACTGTACCCTGACATTTTTATGAAAGTGATCTGGCCATTCAGAACCACTGTGAGAGATTGGATTTAGCAAACCAAAGCAGCTCTCACACGTAGCCAGTTTTGAGAAGACCCATCTTTAGCCCTTAGAGTATTTCACCCTTGTGAAAATCAGAATCCCTCATTTATCAAGGTGGAGTCTCATGTGAACCTGAATCCTTTGATCCTTACCCCCTTCTTTTCCATTTTTCTCCTTCTTCAGTTGCTATTTTTTCTGTCCTGCTTCTGACTCGTCTTCCCTCTTCTCCTCACCTTCACCTGTGCTCTCCTAACTATTCCATTTCTTTCCATTTTCCTACATGGCAGCAATGCCCCCTTCTGTAGTGATGTCTCCTTGTTGGTCTACCACTGTCCCTAAGTGTCCCCGCCTGTCAGTCTCCATGCCCTCCCAGGTACAGTCTCTTACAGCCTTCCCACCCTGTCCATCTGGGCACTTGGATTAATCGATGCAGTTACAGAGCTGATTACCTGATTTCCTTAGAATTATTGTTATTATTTTCTTTCACTCACATCATACCACGAGAAGCACACAAAATGGCAAATCCAGTGAGTCTACCTTTCATTGTCACATACAAAGGCACTTCTCATGCCTCCATCTAGGCAGAGCTCTCTGCTGTACCGTTTCCTGGAAACCCTCCCTGGTGACTAAGGGACTTTGTTACTGGCTCCTTGTTCACTTCTGGTTTCTCAAAAATTAACATTCTCCAGAAATCAGTATGTAGTTCTCTGTTTTCTGTGTCTCCATGTTGTTAGTCATTACCGCGATGCATACTCACGCCTCCCAAAGTTAAGTGCCCCGTGATGACCTGAAAATCAAGCTAGTGTTCAAAGTCGGTTGCA